GAACAATGTAAATTTATACTTTTTGTCATAGTTCGTTTGAGCGTTCTACCGGGCCGATTTCCATGATTTTTGCGTAGATCGTCAGGTAATTGGCCCTAGATGTGCCCGCTCTAATTAGATTTTGGAAATAGGACCCAGGTTTTTTCAAAATCACGTTATAAAAGTGAGTAACTTTACAGAATGCTCCGGGACTGCTGCCGCTATGCGCGGGAGGATGCGCAGTGGTCGAGGAGGTTGCGCAGTAGCTGGGTAGCCTGCATCAGCTCTACACTTATCTACACAAGATTCGCGCCTGCGACTTCATGGCGAGCGGTGGCCGAGTCGTCTAAGACGTGGAATGCGTTCGCTTTGATCACAGAGTGGGTTCGATCCCCGACTTATGAAATCTTAATTATTACCTGACTTTCACCGTTCATTGTTTTATTGCAATATTTCATCAAGCAGTCATTCCAAAACGCGTCCTTTTAATTTTAAAGTATTTTAAAGTAAAGTTTAAAATTAAAGTATACCTCATATCGTATTTTTGTAGGAGAAAAATAAAACTAACACTGATAGGAGGGTAAAATTAGGGCCGCGAAGCGGCCCATTGATGGCGCGGAGCGCCTTCAGGGGGTTGGGCCGCGTAGCGGCCAGGGGGCGTAGCCCCCTAGTACCTTATAGCGTTAGAGTGCAGCGTAAACCTCAAACCCCCTAACTCCGCAGTTGGGTTTGTTTACAATCGTGACGTCAAGAGGGTACGAGATGCGACCACCATTCTTTATCCGCCTTGCAGTCGGGCCTCTAACCTTCTATACTCTTTGATCTCAACTTTGATCTTGATCTGAATGTTGTTTTTGAAATGTGGTATTGAAATGTCCGATTGCTCTACTCCCCATAATTTCCGTCAGCATTTCGGTCCATCAATTACTTTTTTGTCCGAATCAGACGTCGCCCTCAATGCAGTTTCTCTTTTCATCGCAAGAATATTGATTTCTTTTTCTCCTTACATTAACCATCATTCTGAAGCCCCGAACCGACCGTCAGCTTCAGCTTCAGCCTCAGGCGTGTCATAGTTTATCTACTCAGTGCATTGTGATAGTGCGTCCCCTCGAGTTCTTATCGGTAAAGATAGTTTTCATTCTCTAGCAGTTGTTCTCACTTACTACTAGGAAGAAGCTCTCACTCTCTCTTAAAACTTTGGAAAGTAATCAATCAGAGTAACAGTCGTAATATTTATGATACTCGGATCTGAGAACGTTACTGTCACCTACCTCTGGATTGAGTATCAAAATATACTTATCACACAATGTAAAATGGTGTTTGCATACTGCTTCATTGAAATGTTATTCCATGGCTTCCCTCTATGATTGCTGCAGATTTAAGTCAGCTTTAATGTAAGTTATTTCTGTCTCCAAGATTGCTATGCTGTGTTTCTCTCGGTAGATATACTACACACAAGGTGTGTTCATCATGCTGCTATCTATGCTTTAATCAAAACCTAATTCAGTGAAATGTATTTATCATTTCAGATTGGTTGTCATTATAAGAAAAACTGTATTAAACGCAGTATTACTGATGTATTATCAACCCACTCATGAGTGAGCAAAGCTTCGGTGACACTGGGAAAATGAACTGACCTGAGTCAGTTTCTAACTGTTGGTTCCAGAAATATTCCTCTGGCACAAAAATATGAGTAAACAAAGTTTTTCTCCTCCCCACTGTAGAGGGACCAATAGTGTCCCAGCCAAGACGACAAAAATAAGACAAGATAAATCCTACTTGATGGGAATCCTAACCTTAGTCTCTTGTCATAATGGATTTTGTGTGCATAACAACTAGGGGTGTTCAAAGGAATTCTTACTGGAACACTATCGATAGCGTCTCTTATTGAAACTGGCAGCAGTACCGACAGTGGCTATTATATCGACAACAGCCGGCCTTATCGGATTTTTGAGAGCTCGCACTCAATGCATTGTTGCCCCGTGCGTCAGTTTATCAGATTGCCTGGCGCGGCGGCGCGTGAAATAGATGCACAAATGGCAACAGCTTATTTTCGTCAGCTCTGAAAACTCTGATAGCTATCGGCAAGAGCGCTCTTATCGTAACGTTTTCTTAACGGAACTGTTTCGGTAGCTTATCGACAACCAATAGAACAGCCCGATTAATAACCGTGGAACGCACGATGCAGAAAGTTTTCATAACCTGTTCCCCTCAAAAATCTTTTCTTGCCCTTTTGTAAAAATTTTGTTATTTTCAAGAACACTTAGACCGTAGGCCAGCTAGGGGTAGCCCTCCCCACCCTGTGAGAACTTTGAAGATGGTGATTTTCTTGAAGCTCTCGACTAGGAGAATAAGATTTTTTTTTGTTTATGGGGATTCTATCGTGGTGAGGAGAAGTAAGCCCCCCCAAAATTGCTCCCATCTTTCCCAAAGAGGCTTGATTTTAGGGCAAAACTCCACATAACCGATCTGATAACTTGTGAAATTTCTTGCGGGAAAGTTATGTGTGACTTTGGCCATGACCTGCAGCAATCCCAAAACGGGGAGGCTTAAAATGTCCAATTATCTCAAATTCCTGTGAGAATGACTGTTTCGCCGCGTTTTCTCCCCAATAACGCGGAGAAGGTCGGTAATATCGTTACATTGTTTATCCCTAAAATGATAGAGCATAACTTTTTCATTCCAAGGGCAGCCTAACCCCTCGTGGGAGGGAAGGGGACCCCTAGCAGAACCCACCCTACAAAAACCGTTGAGATTGGCAGCTTCCCTGAAGTAGCGTTATTTACAAAAATGGGCAGCAAAATGAAAGCAAGTAGCGATTGTTCTAGGAGTACATCCATGTGACCTTTCGTTAGAGGTTGGGAAGGGGGGGGGTTACATCCTCCCCCTTCCCCTCCTGTTCCCTCTCTCCCTGATAATTAAACACGAAAAAAGTCAAATCATCACGAAAATTCCACTTTTTAAAGCGATTGCCAAGGCTTGTCGTTGGCACGCCCACACAAAGAAAATTAAATAGTATATTTGCAACAAGGGGGAAGGGGGATTAGGCATCAGAGTCCCCCCAGCCAACCTTAAAGAAGGTCGGGGGTGGGGGTAATGTAAATACATTACTAATGTAATGGGAGGAATGAGGAAATTCAGCTGCAGTAGGAGAAGTTTAAGAATTGAAGGAATAATACCTAATCAGGGCGTAGTCCACAAACATCGATCTACAGATTTATTTTTGGGAATTACCAAAACAGAGGTAAGTATTTTCATAATTGACGGGTAGGTACATTCTTAAGCTTATGTCAATATTTTAGAAACGTTTGGAGAATAGGCCCAAGCGTATTGGATTGTTTGCCAAATTATTCAATCATTCATTTTGTAACCAACACATACAGCAATAATATATCTATAAAAAACATTAAGCGATTAGGAAGGGGATTAGGGAATACTGTTTTTATGAAGGGCCCCCCAACCAAAATACCCCGTAAATGGAAAAGTTTTCTTGGCAAGGTTAAAAATAAGAACCAACTTAACAATCTCCTCTTAACTGAAGGGACTGAAAGAAATAAGCCCTATATTTTCACAGAAAAAAGTATAAATAAGGCATGGAGAAGAGTGTACCCTGTTTACTTCCGGTGGTGGCATGAAAGTTTACCTCACCTCGCAAACTCAATAAAAAGCAAACCAAAAAGAAGCGGACACTCGAATAATTTTGCCTTTTTCTGAGTCCAACAATTTGGATAACTATCCCTCAATTAGAGTTCGTTCGCCAGACACAGATGTATTTATGCTCCTTCTTCGATACGCCCACGATATTAAAAAAAACTGTGCTTTTTAATACAGAAAGAGGCAACTATCAAAGAGTGATTAATGTTCACTCTGTCGCAAGTTAGTTGGGACCTGATGCGTGCCATGCTTTACTGAATTTACATGCGTTTTCAGGTTGTGACGTAAAATCTGCATTGTCCTAAATTCATGAAAATCAACGGTTTGTCCCAGGTTTCAAGTTGCTTGATCAATCTACAACAGTGTCAAATAGTCGCTTCTCTAGAGGAATTCGTATGTTGTATATACTCTCCTTCAAAAAAAAAAAATTTGATTACTACTAATCAACTACTACGGTTCGAGCTTTTCTCAAGAATATTTTTCATGGCAGAAACAATAAGCCTCACTAGCATGCATTTGAGCTTTCTACAGCCTCGTAAAAGTTTACTGGTGAACTATATATATAAACGACAAATTATACTAGTGCTAAACTTGGAACAATGAACTCATTTGAAATACGACCACCAGAGAAGCACGGCTGGAAATTGCTCAGGAGCACTCGAATTTGACCGGATCTCTTCGGAAACAATGCCAAAAACTCTCAATGATCTCATAGGAAGCAAAAGTGAAATAGGCATTTTTGGGGAGGGAAGATAACAACGGCTTTTTAACCCCCCCCCCCACCCTTTCCCTCGTTAAATAAGATTCGTGTGAGCGTTTTAATGGCAACCCTCGAAAGTCGCCTTAAAAAGTGGAATTTTCACGTTTATTTAACTTTTTTCGTGATTATTTTTTGGGTAGAGGAAGGGGGAGGATGTAACCCCCCGCGACCTCCTACGAGAGGTACTTCAGAGAAGCTACCAATCTCGACGGATTTTGTAGGGTGGGTTCTAGTAGGGGCCCGCCTACCTCTCACGAGGGGTTAGCTTCTCTCTGGAATGAAAAAGTTATGCTCCATCATTTTAAGGATAAACAATTTAACGATTTCACCAACCTTTTCCGCGTTATTGGCGAGAAATCGCGGCGAAACGGGTTATTCTCGCGGGAATTTGAGATATTTTGACATTTTAAGCCTCCTCATTTTGAGGTTGTCGCAGGTCATGGCCAAAGTCACACATAACTTTCCCGCAAGAAATTTCACGAGCTATCAGACTTGTTACTTGGAGTTTTGCCCCATAATCAAGCTTCTTCGAGAAAAATGGGAAAATTTGCGAAAAGTCGGAATTCTGAGCAATTATGGGGGATTTAGGGGGGGTGTGGCTCACTCCCCCCACCACGATAGAATTCGCGTAAACAAAAAAATCGTATTCTACTAGTCGAGAGCTTCAAGAAAATTACCACACTATGGCATATGGAATCACCGTGATCAGCTCGCTGGGCGAGCTGTCACGCCTAGCCGGGGAGTGTCCCTGGACCCCCGATTCCATGCTTCGCGATGAACTTGCGACTCGCTCCGCGAGCCGCCCCTCATAACTATTACCCATTAAAATGATAATAATATAATGATGAGAAGATAACATCTTAGCCACGCTTGCCACGGCCGCCATCTTGAGTTTTGGAATTTTGACAATCTGACCAAAAATTCAAGTTTTCCGTCGAAAAATATCCTCGGAAACCGAGTTTCACGAAAATCGATCGAACGGGAGCCGACTTAGCAATTTAGACCACTGCCGCCATCTTGGATTTTGAAATTTTGGGAATCTAACCAAAAATTCGAGTTTTCCACCACAAAGTACCCCTTGCCTCCAACTTTCACAAAAATCTGTCGAAAAATACCCCCTTAAACCTGAAATTTCGTTTATAATGCTGTGACGTCTTGCGACAGGATCGAACCCGTTCGGCGCGGTGCGCCTGGACAACCTCGTTTCCCCAACGCATAAGTATAAGGAGAATCAACTTTTATTATTTTTTTTTTTTAGGCTCCAGCGTCATTTTTTTCTATATTTGAGTTTTCTGGCATGCAAAGGTGTTTCTTAGCTTTATTCTTGCAAAGTTTGAAGGAAATCGCTTCCACAGTTTTTTTGTAAAGTAATCTTGGATTTTGAAATGTTTATAATCTGACCAAAAATTTAAGTTTTCCCTTGCGAAAAGCTCCTTAAAACTGAATTTCACAAAAAGCGATGAAACAGGAACCTAGATAGCATTTCAAACCACGTCCGCCATCTTGGATTTTACAATTTTGAAAATCTGACCAAAAATTCGAGTTTCCCGTCGAAAAATACCGTTTGCCACCCATTTTCACAAAAATCCGTCGAAAAATACCCCCAAGAACATGGAATTCAGTCTACAATGCTGTGACGTCACGCGACAGGATTGAAACTGTTTGGGGCGGTGCGCGTGAACAATCTCGTATCTCCGATGCATTACTATACGGAGAAACAACTTTTCGCTCTTGCGAGCGTCCTAGGCAGCGGATTAGAATTGGGACAATTTTGATCAACTCCTCATTACAATAGCTAAGCATGTACAAATTTCAAAGGAGATCGCTTCCGCCAATTTTTCCCTAGGGGGGCTGAGTGAGTGGTAATAGAGTCCCTCTATACCCAGAGTTACGACAACTCACTTTTGGTTGGGCTGAAAGTGGCCTAAAAAAAATCCAATTCTGATTGGTTCTCGCTCAGGGAGTCACAAACGAGTGCAC